AGGAATTGGTAAGATGTTAGTTAGCTGCATGCCATGATGCTGGTGCTGTCTGTTTATAAGCTGATCACTACGTAGGTATTGATTGGACGGGCTACAGCTAGGAATTTGCAGTCCGGTTAAAGGGTGTGGCCTGTAGAAAGTGCTGGAATCACAGGGCGTCTGTTTGTTCGTTGTTGGTTTATCGCCTGTGTGTGTTTGTACTCTGTTTCGTATTTCTTGTTTCGTGCATTTTTATATGTTGTTACGTGTTTATTATTTTATGTGTTTATGCATTATTACATTTCTATTATTTTTGTGTGTTTATATATTGTTACATGTTTATTATCTCATGATCGGAAAGATCTACACAGAGCCTTCTCGGATAAGAGCGAAAAATCTTGGCGGTCTCGTGTGCAAGTTGCGCATGTTAAAGACCCCTTGGCGGTGCAAAATCGATAAGAGTAGGCTTCAGCCGCCACCTGGGGAAAATCCCGAATTTCCCACCAACTGAAAATGTTTGATGTGTCCCGCACGCTCATATGACCTTATGCAGTTGCGAGCGCCGTAAAACACCTATAAAAAAAAAAGAAAACAACAAGCAGGGGTCACCATGGGTGTCACAGTAGAGAAGCGGTTATGCCTTCCAGGAACAGGAAACGGGGGGGAAGGTGGGTGATTGGCGGGTGCTCTGGTGTGGTTTGCTTCTTCTTTCCTATCAAACGTCTATCGTCCTTATTTCTCTCCTCCTTCTTTTTTATGTATGTTACTCTCTTGTGACATATCTATTCTTCGGCACTTATATATAATAATGACCTTATTGTGTTGCAAGTGCTGTAAAACTCTTACTAAAACTAAACAGGGAAATTGTTGTTGATGGGTGAAGTTTTGAGAGGGCTAAAATTAAAATATATATTCAAGTTTACATCTTTTTTCTGGTCCTCAGTCTGGGAATGTGGGTGGTTGGCGGGTGCTCTGGCGTGGTTTGCTTCTTCTTTCCTATCAAACATCTATCGTCCTTATCTCCCCTTCTTCTTTTTTATGTTTGTTACTCTCCTGTGACACCTCTAATCTTCTGGCACTCATATTACCTTGTGCAGTTGCGAGCACTGTAAAACCCTCTACTAAACTAAACTAAGTCTGGGAATATTATACACAACTAAACAGTGGAATTGTTGTTGTTGATGTACGTGTGAAGTATTGGGAGGGTTAAAATATTAAAGTTTTACATCTTTTTCTGTTCCACAGTCTGTGAATATTATGCACATCTGGATTGCCAAGACTTTGTGGTCAGTGACTGCATGGAATGTGCAACCTACTTCCCTCAGAGAGACAGAGTAAGTAGACACAGAGAGGATTCAACTTTAACTTTACTTTTACTTTTCCGATCCAGCGGCCATTTGAGTTCTAGCTTTGTTCTTTCTTCCATGTATCTTTCTCTAAGTTTAAAAAGATGTTTGTTTCTTATTTTGTTCTAGTTTTTTTAAAGTTTTGAAAAGTTTTCTGTTTTCTTCTTAATCTTTTTTTTTCTTCGGTACTTGTTATAACCGTCTTGGAAAAAACAACCCCCCC